CCTCCTTCTTGCCCTTTTTGAAGATTGGAGTGACACTGGCTTTTCTCCAGTCCTTGGGCACCTCTCCTGTCCTCCAGGACCTCTCAAAGATGATGGAGAGTGGCTCAGCAATGACATTCGCCAGCTCCCTCAGCACTCGTGGGTGCATTCCATCAGGGCCCATGGATTTGTGGGCATCCAGATTGCTTAAGCTCCTTGAAGAGGCCAAAGTTAGCCCTCCTGAGGTCCAAGGTTTTGATCCTACTTATCGCCCTGCTTCCTCCACGCAGGATCCTGAACTCCACCATTTCATTGTCACTGCAACCGAGTCTACCTCTAACCTTCATATCCTCAGCCAGTCCCTCCTTGTTTGTTAGTACGAGGTCCAGCAGAGTGCCTTTCCTTGTTGGTTCCTCCACCATTTGCATCAGAAAGTTATCATCGATGCTCTGCAGGAACCTCCTGGATTGCGCCTTCCCAGCTGATGTCAGGATGGTTGAAGTCCCCCATGAGAACCAGGGCCTGTGACTGTGAGACTACTTGCAGCTGCTTGTAGAAGGCCTCATCAACTTCCTTCTCCTAGTCAGGTTGTCACTGTTTCAGTTTTTCTTTCCTGATTTAGAGCTATCAAAGTTCTATACGTAGCCATCGTGCCTTTTAGTAACAGAAGTACTATAAAGCTGTTTGATAGACCAGGTAATTAGACTTTGGGATAGCCGAGTGTAAATGCTACCATGTTTTGAAATTATGAAAATTTTATTTCCATGCAGCATTGTGTGGCCTTAGCATTTTTCTCAAGGAAAAGTAACTAATTCTCCAAAGAAGAGTCTGTTTCTGCTTTCAGCAGCATCCTTGTTTCCCTGGCTGGCAGTATAAGTGGTTTATTTTTTAATTTAAGATGGGAGCGCACTTTGTATTCTGCGGAGGATTAAGACACTTCAGGACATTGGCAGCAAAGGGTTAAAAAAGGAATTTGACACAGTACCAGTTAGCTGGAGTAACTGTATCCTGATATTTTGAGTCCTGTTTCATTTCTTAATCCTTCTGTTCATAGTGTTCAGATGCATTTCTCATGACTGTGATGGATTGTTACATGTTCTAATCGCCTGTTTTTTCTCGTTTTAGCCTCAAGGAATAGGTTCACCTAGTGTCTACCATGCTGTTATAGTGATCTTCTTGGAGTTTTTTGCTTGGGGACTCTTGACAGCGCCCACTCTGGTGGTAAGTGATAAGCTTTGTCTTGCTAGGTGGCAGGTGGGACAGTTGCTGCAAAGGCACTGAAAGTCTTCTGAATTAAATGAAAATTATGTATCATTGAGCTGCTCTGTTGTGCGAGTTAAAAGTTTTGTATTTTTACATGGAATCAGGAATTTAAAATTATTTCATTAAAGCAGTGTAATGATGCAGCATAGCTGTTTATGTGCAAGTGTGCTAATAGTCAAGCTTACACGTAAATATCTTCTGACTTTAAACCAGTAAGACAGTAACGAAATTACCTTTCCTTTCAAGATGCTACAAAAAGTTGGCACATTACAAATGTGAGGACAAAAATGCACTTGAAATTTGGTAAAATTATGCAAGCGTGTGTGTAGGTGGGGAGATCTTTGCTGACCTGCTTGTGCTTTAAACGGAAGCTTCAGAGCGCAGACCCTGTTACACCGGTGAAAGCTTCCCTATGATTAACGAGACAGTCATACCAGCGTGTTTGTACCAAATTATTTTCTGATGTAGTTAGTTGCTTTCCATTTGGATTTAATCTTTGAGGCCGCATGCTTACAAATTAGAAGGAGCGAAGGCTTAAAGATCTCCAAGCAAACTCCACCTAAAATGCAGTCTCAGTGCGTCTCTGTAAGCTGATGTTAACCATGGACAGTCTCTTGGACATAAACTGCATGTTGGTCACTGAATGGAATCCATCTCATGTAACACAAGTCAGACTGAGGGAGGTGCTTATTTTAACCTGTGTATCCAGGCTCTGGTCGCTGAATTGAGAGGCACTTCTGAGTGCTGATGTCTCTCTCTCTCCCCAGCCCCCTACAGATGACTCGGTAACATCTGGAGAGTCTGGTCTGAGCTCATTTTCTAGATTCTCTGTGGTCTGTTTAGATTGCAGACACTGAAGCTGGATGACATGAATTCTTCCCAAAGCATTGACAGAACTGAGGCCTCTAGCAAGTAAAGCTAAAATCTCAAAGCACCTTCCCTGTGAATTACAGATTAAATAGATTACTTGTGGTGTGTTTTGTGTTGTCCTTTCTTTATGTTCTGTGAAAATACAAAACTCCTGTGGGTGTGCCACTGTAGGAGTTGGGTGCATCGTGAGCAATATTTGTAGTTACTACTGTGTAAATGACAGTGTTTGTATTTCTTCTCCAGGTTTTGCACGAAACCTTCCCAAAACATACATTTCTAATGAATGGTCTAATTCAAGGAGTAAAGGTAAGGTGACAGAAGTTAATCACAAGTACAACTTAAGGGGAGTGGTGGCAGGAATAGAGAAATGACTGCCAATTGAGAGAAACATTCAAGAGGTTTTTCAATATAGCTTCCATGGTATAAATAAAACAGGGGAATAAATTATTGCTAAAAAAGCAAATATGCATCATTTCACTTTTAGTAAGCTATTGCTTGGTCTGTACCTGCTGTTTGGGTTCAGCAAATAAAAAGGTAGTTGACTAATCCCAAATGACACACGTGGTGTTAAAATCTGAGAATTTTTTACTTGGAGCTTGTTGCTCCAGTAGGGTATTTTCAATTACCTACATTTATGTGAATTCTAAATAAGTAAAACTATAAAACACAGTTCATAAAACTGCTAGTATGACTGGATCACCTGCGTTTTGATTTTTTTGTAGCTCTTAGGTAACATCTCAAATTTTATTTGGCAGACATGGGGGAGAAGATCAGTAATGCTTGACCATATTGCCTTTGATTGCATTGCACTGTAGTCATCGACTTTAATAAAAAAAGAGCCCAGCCTGCTATCAGGCTGTGGTATGGTCAGCTATCATGATTCTAACCACTTAGTTCGAACTTCAAATGTTTTGTTTCATTTAGGGCTTATTATCGTTCCTCAGTGCCCCACTCATAGGTGCCCTGTCTGACGTGTGGGGACGAAAGTCCTTCTTGCTGCTAACAGTATTTTTCACCTGTGCACCAATACCACTAATGAAGATCAGCCCATGGTTAGTAAATTCTTTCACACTAGATTTGCCATTTCTTGTCAAGGTTGCTGTATAATGCTTATGTTTGTAGCACTGTGGATAAAATATTGTTTCTGCCCCCTGGAACGTTGAAGCTTTTGTATTATGGGCTTTTTACAAGGGCATGTAGTGATAGGACAAGGGGTAATGGCTTTAAACTGGAAGAGGGTAGATGGAGATTAGATCTAAGGAAGAAATTCTTCACTATGAGAGTGGTGAGGCCCTGGCACAGGTTGCCCAGAGAAGCTGTGGCTGCCCCATCTCTGGAAGTGTTCAAGGCCGGATTGGATGGGGCTTTGAGCAACCTGGTCTAGTGGAAGGGGTCCCTGCGCGTGGCAGTGGGTTTGGAACTGGATGGTCTATAAGGTCCCCTCCAAGCCAAACCACTCTGTGATTCTGTGAAAGCTGGGAGGACAGAGTCAAGCTGAAGTAGCTGCCATGAGGGCCAGATGCCTTGGTCAGAATTTTAAGAGCTGCTGTTTTTGAGCTCTGTGCTGTAGGCCCCATTTCCTACTTCAGAACATTTGCAAAAGAGATGAGAATGCTGTCAGTAAATTGTGCGGGTCTTTCTTGTGCCCTTATTGCTCAAATACTAACCAGCTATGCAGAAATGGAAACCTTGCCTAATGCTGGCTAGTGCCTGTTGCTGCAATTTTATACTTTTGTTTTTCAAGTTTTAAAATCCACCAGCTTTCACGTTGTGTGCAAGTTAGTAAGCTCTTAACTGGCATGTATGTTCCCCAGGTAGTGCATGAGTCAGAACTTTGAGTGCTGTCAGACTACCCACGTGCTGTACCTGAGGGTGTAGCTGAAATAACACAGGCTGCACTGACGCAGAGCAGCACCAGCTGGTTAGGTAGCTCCGTGAGCCTTTTCAGTTGTCTCTCCAGTCACAGGGATTGTTCATGGATTCATGGATTCTTCATCCCTTTTCTGGAAAGCAGCTTCTTTCTAAGTTTAGATTAATGTTCCAAATGATGAGTGCTCGTGTCTGGCATAAAGGTAAGGCTACTGTTGAGACCTCTCAATGACCAGATTCTCAACATACTGAAGTTCCTAGTTTGCTTTGGGTCATAGGCATCCGGTTAAAGTTAGTCTAACACCTCGGTTCCTAGAAGTACTTAATCACAGCAGCTTTTTGTAGATGTTACAAAATTACGCTGTTTATCTTTGTGCTCGGTGTGCTAAGGAGGAATTACACAACTGTATTGAGACACATTCACATTGGCTTTATCCAAGTATGTCTTAATATTTGTCAGTTGGACAAGATGATTTACTGTTGAACTGTACTTGGATTGTAAATAGAGACTTTGTTCAGCTGTTCTAATCTTTTTATCATGTTCTTAGGTGGTACTTCGCTGTTATCTCTGTCTCTGGAGTTTTTGCAGTGACATTTTCTGTGGTTTTTGCATATGTAGCAGACATAACCCAGGAGCATGAAAGAAGCATGGCCTATGGTTTGGTATGTATTTTTTTGGCTCTGTTCTTGTGGTATTCAGTGCTAAATACTTCAGTAGGGAAAACATTCCAGAGAAGAAACAAAAACACACTTTTGAAAAGTTGATTTTTAGTTTGGAGTAACGCTTTTCTGTTTAATTGTTCTTCTCATCCAGTCCTGTATCTCTTGAATATTCTGCTTCAAATTTAAACAAAAGATGACCGTGTTAAAAGCTGTCTTTCAGATATGTCGTAACAGTTACTGTCAGTGTTAATGAGGTAATCTGAGGGGCTGTAGCTATTCCTCCATTGTTTCTCACACTAGTACAACTCTCCCACCTTTTCAAAAATCTAACCTTTTGTTCCTGGATAATCTTGGAACTGTGACTGTATAATGTCATGACAACTACCGCTTGTGTCTCCAGTCACACAGCTGCGCTTCCATTCAGAGCAAATGTAGCTGATTGTCTGTCTTAAGTTCTTACAACTCGCTTCCGTTTCTCCATTGTCTCCCGATGACCTGCCACATTTCAGGCGCCTTCACAGCCCTACGTATTATGGATTAGTGGAATTATTTTAGCTGAAAACAGTGATTCTAGAACTAAATAGTTACTTTCTGCCTGTATGCATCAGGAATTGAGATATGCTGAGAAAGTTCCTTCATTTTTCAAGTTAACATCCTTCAGAGCAAGGCCAGCAGGTTAACTGAAAACTGTTTTCTGAAGATCCATTGTACTGAGTTGGATTAACCAGCACACTAAGTTTAATATGCCCTTGATAAATGTGATTTTTTTCTTAACAGGCGTCACATATTTCACTAACATGAAGATTAAATACAGCTCATCACTTCCCAGAAATATTAGCAGACTATAGATAATTTAACCTAATTATGTCAGTACATGCCAGAGTGCTGTGAATCTCATGTTGCTCTCCAGTAATCAAAAAAAAGAATTGTTTTTCATGAAAAATTTTGGCTGTCTGAAATACACAGCTGCTACCACACAGTCACAGGAAAAAGGTTACTTTTAATCACTACCTGATTCAAATGGTCAGGCTTCTGAACATGAGGAAAAACGTGAGTAATAATACTGTTGACTTGCATCACTGAAAATCTTACCAGCTGTTGCTTGTTCTAGGTTTCAGCAACTTTCGCAGCAAGTTTAGTTACCAGCCCTGCTATTGGTGCCTACCTTGGTCGAGTCTACGGAGACAGCCTGGTCGTGGTCCTGGCCACAGCAATAGCCTTGTTAGACATTTGTTTTATTCTTGTTGCTGTACCAGAATCACTGCCGGAGAAGATGAGGCCAGCATCCTGGGGAGCACCCATTTCATGGGAACAGGCTGACCCTTTTGCAGTAAGCTATTTAAATATGGAATGTTTTGTTATTTGTAGATGTTGAGCTTTTGAGACAGGAAGGAGACTGAATTTACTACATTTCAGGCTTAAAAAACAAAGCATGTATGTTTTAAATTTAATCTTGCATTGCTACTAATACTTTTTCCAACAATCTTGCTAAACGTGGGGAATGTTTTGGTGATACCACATAATAGCTTCATTGACAGGCTTTTCAGGTGCTTGCTAGGTATGTTTTTCTGCATATGAAGATTAAACGTTTTATAATAACTTTTTTTGCTGTAGTCACTGAAGAAAGTTGGCCAGGACTCAATTGTGCTGCTGATCTGCATAACAGTCTTTCTTTCCTACCTCCCAGAGGCAGGTCAATATTCCAGCTTCTTCCTATACCTCAGACAGGTAACTTAACATTTTGATATGGATTTGAACAAAAGTAAATTTATAGGGAAGTTTTCAATATTGCTGAATTAATAGAGAAAGTCGATATAACTAGTACAATTTAAAGCTCCCAGCAGCTGATTTAAGTCTTCTTGCTGTTCTGTTTTTGTCTCTTTCCAGAGAGACAAAAAAAGGAGACAGATGAATGAGTTATCAAACAATTTCTTGTATTCTGTAATTATTTGCATTATTCTTGGAGTATGAGGTTCATTATGTTACACTGATTTTTTTTTATTTTTTGAGGGAACCATTTACTTATTTTCTATTTATGCCCCTTTGTTTTTGAATACTTGCTTGATTTAATGAAAAAAAACCCAGCTTTTTTCTAAGTTAGTGAGGAGTTGAATAGTACTGCTCTTCTGCATTGTGTGTTTCCCCCTGATGTTTGTGGCATGAGACGTGGTTTACGGTTAATAATCAAATTGCCTTTTTTAATACAGATAATGGGATTTTCATCTGAAAGCGTTGCAGCATTTATAGCAGTCCTTGGGATTCTTTCCATTATTGCACAGGTGAGTCACTGCTATGTACTTCATTGATTTGGTAACCTCGAAAGAGCTGAGTGCTGTGGAGAACTTCCACAATACTACGGTTCCAGAACTGTGACTCACCTTTTCTGTAGCTGTTTTTCTAAGTCTCTTAACAACTGACAAACACTCTTAACTGTACCCTAGATGAAAAAACAGCTTTCCAGCCAGGGTTTGGTTCATTAATATCCCAAGTGTGTTGTGTTGGGAACAGCTGAATCCGGTGCACCAAAGAAGGGGTGACAGTTCGTATTACTTGCTAAATGATTGCTGCTTTTTTGGCAGAGGCTCCTGAACACTTGGCAAATATGGCTTTTGAAGACTTTTACTTGGCTTTGTAAAATTTATTTATTTGCATGTATTTAACATTTAGAATAAAATGTTTGGGTTTTTGTTTCTTTTTTTTTTTTTTTTTCCCGCTTTTTCCCCTCTCTGTCAGACAATAGCTTTGAGTTTACTTAGGCAGAGGCTCCTGAACACTTGGCAAATATGGCTTTTGAAGACTTTTACTTGGCTTTGTAAAATTTATTTATTTGCATGTATTTAACATTTAGAATAAAATGTTTGGGTTTTTGTTTCTTTTTTTTTTTTTTTTTCCGCTTTTTCCCCTCTCTGTCAGACAATAGTTTTGAGTTTACTTATGCGGTCCATTGGAAATAAAAATACCATCCTACTGGGCCTAGGATTTCAGATACTACAACTTGCATGGTACGGCTTTGGATCAGAACCATGGTATGTAAATTTCATCTTAATAGCTGAATGACAGTATTTTTCTGCATTTTACCCTTTATCCAAGGGAGACACTTAAGTGTGTGTGTATCTGTGTATATACACTCCAGATGCAAAACGCCGTCCGTGCAGGGCAGTTACTTTGAGTCTGTTTTTTTGCAGGATGATGTGGGCAGCTGGTGCTGTTGCAGCCATGTCCAGTATTACTTTCCCAGCTGTAAGCGCACTGGTTTCACGAACTGCTGATGCTGACCAACAGGGTAGGCTTTGTCCTAACGCTTTGAATTCTAGGCAAATACTGCGAAGGCAGACGTGTCAGGGTGTTGTTGTGGTGCTGCTGCTCAGTCAGCCTGAATCTCAGCACACAGCAGCCCATGCACCTGAGCACAGGTCACAAAATGTTAAAATCCAAGTTCCTTGGAAGTTGTAATACATGCGTATCCTGTCCTTCTGGCACAGAGGGAGAACATTCAACAGGTCCCAACAGTAGCAAAGTATTTAGCACACTTGATATGCTGTTTATTATTTTCCTCACTTGTGACAAAAGTTTACTTAGTTGTCCAGGTTCCATACAGTGCTTCCTCTCCTGTGTGAGACAGTGGTAGCAAGGATATTGTGTATGGATGGGTTGGTCTCTCAGTGAGCACGGCATGGCAAGTACTGCGCTGTGCCTCCAGGGAGGTTGAAAAAAACCCACGTGAATGTGCTATAATGGCAGTTTTTCTGTGCCCCTTGTTTATTGCTGCCCTTAGTGCAGCACCACTTCGAGAAGCTTTCCTGCTTGCATCAGTTTGAAGGGGAAGTGAATGAAGTCTTACTGATCAGTTTATAATCCATTAAAAACAGTTAATTAAATATGTATAAATATAGATAGACAAGTAACAGTGAATTTTACTTTTTCCAGGTGTTGTTCAAGGGATGATAACAGGAATTCGAGGACTCTGTAATGGTTTGGGACCAGCACTTTACGGTTTTATATTCTATATATTTCATGTTGAGCTCAATGAACTCCCCATGCCTGAATCACCAGCAGGAGGTGGTGTGGTCACACAATACCATTTACAACAGGTATTGTTCCTTCACTTACTAATTCCAAAAAAAAAGAAATTAGGAAGGGATTGCGTGCCCACCAGTTCTTAAGAGTATGACGCTGTATTACATTTTGTTATACCAACTGTAAATGAAGCATGTTAAAAGCGGTTCTTAAATCACTCTTGGGGAGGGTTGTTATCTGTCTGCTTTTAACTAGATGGTATGGTTTAGTTTAATTTTCCAGTAGATACAGCTGATAGTAATTAGATAAATGATGACCCTTGAGAATAGATTGAGGGAAGGGGGGACTAGTAATACCAGCATCCCACTCTTCTGGTCTCCCTGACAATGTATTTACCTTTCACATGTTGCACATTTTTGTTTTATTGTCCTTTAGTCTTTTAACCAAGCTCTCTGTATTTTCTTTAGTTCCTAACAGATACTAATTTGTTGGGGAAAGGCAGCAGCAAGAACTTGCACAAGAAGAGGAAGTTGGCACGCATTAGTCAGAACTATATGCTCCCTCTCATAAATCTTAGGATGTAACATTCTTTCTGCACGTCTTCTAAAAGATTCCACAGGGCGACAAATACCATATTGGCTAGTATAGCAAGAAAAAAGTTCTTTCCACCCTTGAAATTTGTGTAACTAGCAATTTAGTCTGTTAACATCATGTCTGAAGGTTCATTAATAGTTTGTGGTGGTTTTTCTTTTGTTTTCAGAATTCCATAATTCCTGGCCCCCCATTTTTATTTGGAGCATGCTCTGTGCTGTTGGCGCTACTTCTTGCCTTGTTTATTCCTGAACACACGAACCTAAACCTACGACCCAGCAACTGGAAGAAACACTGTGGCAGCCATGGCCACCCCCACAGCCCACAAGCTCCTGGTGAAGCTAAAGAACCATTATTGCAAGATACAAATGTATGACAAAAATCCAGGAAGATCTTCCGGATGTTTTTTTCCATCAGCAGTTTGGGACACACATTCCAATTCCATCCAAAATGTTATTTCTTAATATACTCTTAAGTATCTTTCTGCATGAAATTCATAGGAATTGAAAAAAAAAAAAAAAAAAGGAGTTTCTCCAAAGATGTTGCCATTGAATTATAATTTGCTTTTAAAAACAAACTGTTACATACTTGTCTCTTGCCATGAAATACTGTTACTACTAAACTTTACATTCTAGGTCCCAGATAAAAAAGAATATAGTCAAGGCATGAGCATGTGTCTGTTTCCTTAAGGTGGTAAGCTTTAATTCCTGTCATGCTAAGTCTCAGTGAGACATACTAGCATCTGTGTGGACCCATTCATTTTAATGTTGTAAAATCTTGGGTCAGATGATTCAAAGCCTTAATGTAAACGTACTCAAGTAGGGAAAAGGTGAATTGGTATCATTTATCTTAAAAGTCATATAGCAGGTTTTTTTTAAGTTTGTACTAATACAAAAATCACATGAGCATGCTTGCTGAACAGTAAAAGTTATTTTTATGTAAGTAAGTGCATTTACTCTTTCTATTTTTGAATAAACAGTAGTAGCAAACACTTGTTTAAATATCCAGTTAGTGTTTTGAGCCTTACAAATTTTAAAATTGGCTCTAAAACTCTGCTTTCCTAAGTACCGTTTATTATACCACTATATTTCTGACATTTGCGTGATCAGAACGGACCTCAAAACTTGAATACACAGACTGAAATATAAGCTGATAGCCTTGAATATGTCAGTGTGCTATATATAGTGGCCTTTGAAGACTGTCACAATAACCCTTTTGCATTACAGAACTGATGTTTTAGTCCTAAATTTTCAGGACCCTTAGTACAGAAAAGAGCTTTATACAATTACTGATGTGAATTTCTCTAAAAGTGTATATTTTTGTGTCTAGTTGTATTATTTAAGTGTTCCTTTGTATAAATTTGTGTATAAGGTATTGTATAGGTTTCAAATGTTTTCATCTTGTGGTTATTGCTTAATGCTTTTTTTACCTTTGAACATTCACCATGGTTGACAAAGAGCAGGAAAAAAATTATGTAAATATACTGTTAATAAAGTTGAATATTTTAATGAATTTTTAAATAATTGTTAATGTCTCTTAGAACCTAAATTTAAGTTCTAGAGTGCATGCATGTTATATTCCAGCAGTGTGGAGCACAGGTCCAGCACTGTGTTTTATCTGTCAGCTATGTTTGCCTTGAGCACGTTGCTGGTCTCCCTTTTGTTCGGCCAGCTGGCTGTGGCTGCCTGCTTTATTCCCTCGGGGATGGGACAGAGACAGGCTGTGGCAGACTGGTCAGTGCCCTGTACCTTGTGCCCCTCTGTGCTACAATGCTGTGGGTCGTCCCTGGCCCACTGCAGTTTTGCTTCATTTTAGATTTGCACAGGGCTGGGAGATATGGAAAGCAGCCACCTTTTATTAACTACCAGCTTCGTGGTTGGTAGCAGCTTATATACACTTCAAGAGAAAAAGACCAAACTCACATTAAATTACACTTACTAACATTTAACTGGAAAAAGTAGCATAAGCATAGACCCTCATCTTGGCATTTCAGTACAGTGGGGATGATGGTGATTTAGTACTCTCATAACATTAATCAATTCTTGATAAAAACATTTAATATTTCAATTGAAACTTACACATGACAAAACAAGCAAATATACATTGACATGGTGCTGATTTATAAAGAAATATAAACATTTTGCACTGCAAAACAAACCAGTTAAAAATTTTTAAGCTGAAAGATGTGTAAATAGTAATTTTTAAAAGTGTATTTTGTATGTTACAGATACTTGTGTGCTAGTTCTTTATTGGGACACCAGATAAAAGATGGCACAGAATGAAGTTGTTACACAATTCTAGCATTTGAACCCAGGTAGCAGAACAAGCTGAATAGACTCAGTACACCTAAACTTGAGTGTTACAGTATCTTAAATTTCTGTACAGTCTTATAGTTGTAAAATATGATTAGTAAAGTAGCCTTTAGGTGTTGTGATACTTCTCATAGTTAGCTGTTCAGATACTTCAACTTATAATTTATGCACAGGGGCGTGTAGAATAGAACAGTTAGGGTAACCAAAAATGAGAATTCTAAATTACAACTTCATACCTTCAATGAAATAATTTAGCATCTTTAGATATATGCAATTCAGATTAGCTGGTTCCAAAATTAAGCAACTTTTAAAAATTAAAACTGTAAGCACTCATGCTTAGGAGCTTGACCATTATTAAAATGAATAGCATCACCCAGTTGCCCAGCACTTTTAATTTGCATCATCCTTTCTCTGAAAGGAGTCAAGAGAAGTATACATAGAGAAATGTTGTCTCTGAGGGAGTGCTGGGGGGGTACGTCAGCTGTTAGAGCCACACTTGTCAATTCCTCTAACAAAAGAGTCAGTGCACTTAGGTGGGTTTTTATGAAGACTACAAGGTCTCCAGTATACTAAGAGAAAATTATGCATAGGCCCAGTGACTTAACTACAGCATTGTTCCCACTATGGCTGAGCCTGCTTAAAGCTTTATCTTCTCTGAATTAGCTCAAGTATCCTGAAGAATCATCCAAGTCAGTCAAGATCTCTTTCTCAAAGAAAATAGATTCAGACTTACAAAATTACGTCAGTTCACATTGATACATTACTAATACGTTATTACAGGACATACAAAAATCCCCAAATGGTTAAAAGAGGACTCATACTTTAAGAACCCTGTCTACTATCCAGGAAAGTAAGCTGAGGCTGGTGTTACTGCAGTTTTTGGTGACGACTGGGCTTTTGTTGGAAAGTGTGGTTTCAGATACTCTGTAGAACAGCAGAAACAAAATACTGTTCATAGAACCGTAACTACTCTTAAAGTACATTTCAAATTGGGTCTTGTTTTACTATTTCCATACGTACCCAAGTTAAGTGTATTTTGACTAAGCCCTCGTAAAGGAATGCTGTCATCTTTTTTCTTAAAATACTTTGATTCCAGTCCCAAATTTTCACCACTAGAAATAAAAAGGCTAATTAAAATTTAAAACAAATGTAATTAGCAATGCATGAACAAGTGTGGATACAGACTCATTCAGAAAAATAATAACTGCAGTGGAACTACTGTGTTCCTGTGAACTTTATCATTTAAAGGCAAACTACCACCAAGCAGATTAAGAACAGTCTAGAACCAATTTTTTTGACTGACCCATCCCCTGACAGCACAGCTCTTCATTTGTTACCTACAAACCATGTTTAGTGACCCCCTAAGTCTGCCACAGCTTAAAATTCATTAACATGCTGATGGAGGAAGGCAGCTCACAGAACTAGCTTGGTACTAGAAATGTTTTGCTCAGTTCCAGACACACATGGAAGACAAATGGTTTCATAAAAATAAAAATAAAGAAAACCCACTAAAAATACAATAGGATTACACTTACTTCTCCTTATTTGCTGGAAGACTAGTTGCAGCAGTCACTATCTGAATATCTGAACATCGATTCACTTTAGAAAGCTGTGTGTTAAACTGAACCTGCAGAAACAGAAGAGTTACTCCAGCTAGGATGGTCCACCAGTAAGTGTACTCAGAGAGTGAACTTTTGAGGGACTAATGTTTCTATATCTTGCACAATACTTCTGTGCAGCAAAGCATGCTAGAACAAGCAACCTAAAAACAAGCATTAGCTATGAATAGTGATAATGTTCAAAAGAGGGAGTGTTTAAGAGTACTAGGATATACAGTCAATATTTATGCATTTTGAGAAAAATTCAAAACATTAAGCTTTGATGGTTTGCACTATCACATTCTTCACCAAAGAGAAAAGTCAGAGTGCTTGCCTTTGGTACTGGACATTGTGGACTGACAGTTTTGGTGTGTCCTGGTTCCGGAAAGTGCTGGAAGGCATACAGAGGAGAAATGGGATAATTGAGTCCTGAGCTGGGAAAGGATGGTCGGTCAGGCTATACGAGAAACAGAATACGTCCATAAAGGAGAAAAACAATTCTTGAAGTAATTATTTGCAGAGATTCAAAATTCCAAAATTAACAAGTAACCACACTTACAAAGCTAACACTCATTTGAGTCTTCCTGATGAGTAGTAAACATCACTTTTCCTAGATTCATATTCTTAAGGAAAACTTGTAACTTTTTATAAGTTAGCAAGCTGAGCATTCTTTTAGCTAATAATTACAAGCTGATCATAAGCTACAGACCTTGTAATTGATTAATATATTAAATGTATCTAGCTAGAAATCAGAGACCTCTTTGCATGAATATGCCCTTCCACTACTGAATAAGCAGCTCATCAGTTGCTAGGTGACAACAGACATCTGTAGACACGGGGATAACTAAGAGTAAGAACCAATAAGCTATGGTATTTAACACAGTAGATAATATTTCTTAGACCTTATTATCACATTTTCACTAATAAGAATATTCAAATAGTACATTTTCAACCCACACAAAGATAAGTAGCATGTAAGCTGACCTCAAACAAACACAAAAATGCCACTTCCCCCCCCCCTTCACTTCATCTTTTCCAAGCTAATTTTAGCATTGTTGCGTGTATTTTAATAAATGAAAGCATAGAAATTCTCACTTAGAAAGCCAGGGCATCAAGTAGCACCCAACTGTGTATTAAACAAACCAACCAGCCACAACAAACCCCATACCCAGCCAAAACTATATAGGGCCCAAGGAAGATGAAAGCACTTCCCCGGCCCCCTTTAAGGCCATACATTTCAGGAAATAATGACTACATTGTAACCATTATAGTTGTATCTTACCATGCCATGAGCTGAAATGGCAGTCCTACCACCACCGTGTGTGCTGCCAGAAGTCTCTAGCTTCTTGGCCATCTGAACTTCATTCAGCTGTTTGTTTAACCATGTGATTACTGGAGAGAAGAAAGAGGTCAAGCCACTTCCTACCTCTTACAAGCTGTTGAAAACAGCAAGTAGCCCTTCCTCAAAAAGTGACAGCTCAGTGGGCTATTTTTCCCCCTCCAGCTCGAGCATCGCTAGAAGTCCTACTCTCACGAAAAGCCTTTTTGTTCAAGCTTCCTCCACCCCTATGAACATTCTGTTCTTCTTCGAGAGCTAGCATCCCACATGCACACTGCCCCAAGCAACCACGAGCACTGACTGCAAAGGAAATATTCTCTACTTGCAGCTCTAGGTTGTTGCACACCCACTACAGACAGAAGCTTCTTCTCCATAAGTGACAATAATCACAGCTCTTTACAAAAAAAGAACACAAGTACAGCAATATGGTTGCTTCAGTCAGTTTTCAGGAGGAGTTAGATATCTATGTCATTTTTACAGAGGGAGAAATGACATTGTATAAACCTACCATTTTCATTGGTTTTCAGTAACTGCTTACTTTCCTCTAGTTTTTGTACTGTAGTTTCCAGCTGTTCCTGTAGCTTGCAAACCTGCAGTATTCCCATAACAACACCACCATCAGGAGCTACTACTAATTACAAACTGAACAAAAATTATAATATAAATAAATAAATAGGATCTATGAAGTTGTTCTAAAACTACAGAAGTCTGAACTCAGTTTTTTACAAAAGCAATACAGTAATTCTTTTAAAATATGCCCTGCTTCTAGCTAAGATTTCAACAAGATGACAGCCAGAAACCTTTCCAACCTTAATTCTTCTATGATTAAATAATGCAAGGACTCTGAGCAAGGGAATCTACTTAATGGAAGAAAAAGTTCACTCTGCTACTGTTCTTGCCTCATTCACCAACTTTCATATGAATATGCCCTCTAAGGCAAATTGATTCATCCATTATATAGCTTTGCACTCAACAATACAATTTTAAAGTTTTCCTCCATATGGATGGATGGCTCGCACAATTCAGTTTAATAAGAAAAAAATGAAAAGTCGATTACACATTTAAATACACTTAATATTAACTAAGTAGAAGAGTACATTCTATTCCATGGAAAGGTTTAAGACCTTATTGCTGTAAGTAAGTTAAAAAACACAAAAACCCAACACACTACATACAATAACATTTAGAGGACAGTGTTAACCTATCACAATACCTCCTGCTCTTTCATTCGAAGAGATTGTCCCATCTCCTGCAATTCTCTCTGCTCTTTTTGAAGCCTCTCTTCTTTTTCAGCCAGAAGTTTTTCCTGTTGAATTGTTACTGTATTTTTCAATTTTAGTTTACTCATTAGAGTTTTCAAATCTCCTTGTAACTTCTTGATAATGTCATTAGCCTATTAAAAAAAATACTCAGATATTCTCAAAATAAAGAAACCCCTAAAAATAAGGAAGACATTTCATAAGGATAATGGCATGTTCAAACAAACCTTAAGAAGTTCAGCTGACAGTGACTTAATTGTTGTCTCTAGTTTTTCAACATGAATTTGTTTTTTCTCTGTAATCTCTTCCAGTATCACCTTTAAAAGAACATTAAAAATATTACAATTATATGTGACAGACATCACTTATGATTTCAAGTAGAACCTCAATAATTCTGAGCTAATCCCAATTCATCCATTTTTTTGTTTACAAAAAGTACCACTAACTTTAATCCAGTACCACATCATTAAAACCAGAGCAACCATTGTAAAACTCAATCCAGTATGCTTTTGATGCCCTAATTTAGAACCTTTAGCTACATTTAAAAACTCACTTGCTGTATTCATAAAGACTAGTCAGCTGCTAATCTCTAGAGACTGCAATTAAGAAGGTTCTACAGAGCTTTAGAGAAAATTATTTTCAAACTTGAAGGAACCTTTTGTTCTTGTGTTGCATCTAATACTTCTTTTGTTCTAATAATTAGCTGATCTTTATCTTTGATTTCTTGTTCCAAAACAGCAACCCGGGTCTGTAGCTGATTAATGACTTTCTCTTTTTCATGACATTCAGCATCCAGAGTAGCATTCTCCCGACGCAGTGACAGCACCTCCTGCTTTGCTCTTTGACATTCCTAGAATGTTGGGAAGGAATTTTGGGGTTTTTTTAAGAAAATTTGCAATAGTGATTTAAACACATACATCTAAACAGTAAGCATAATGTGGAATGACAAGGAGCTGAACAAACTTAGTATGCTGTGTTTTCCATTAATCATGGGCAGGCAGTGTTAATGCTCTAAAAATAGCAAGTTTAGTTACGGAAATCAATAAGCCATACATCTTCTATTCCAGAAAGTTTGGCTTTCAGTTCTCTGACTGTTGAGTCTCCTTTGTATCTCCTTTCTGTCAGATCTTTATTGATGACCTCAAGTTCCGAGAGTCTGTTCTGCAACTGTTGAATACTTTTCTGATGCAAATTTTCTAATTCCTTTTTCTGTTGTTCATGCTGTTGTTGGTACTGAGCTTGTGCCTATAAGAAGCAAATAAACTAAGCAGTTACTCAACAAATCTGAAAATTAAGCCAAGAAACTATTCACATATAAGAATATTGTTAATTCTCTTCTGTTGTCATACCTGAAGAGCTCTTTCCTTTTCATTTGCCAGCTCCTGTGTGTGTTTGTTTGTTAGAGCTGTAGTGTATGATGTCCATTCATTTTTCAGTTTGTCTAGTTCTCGGCTCTTCTCTGACAAGCTCTGTTTAAGTTTGACAAAGCATAAAGAGTTTTACAAATGTAAGCATTTCAGTCAATACTGCATGATTCTTTACTGTTACTTCTTAAAAAGGACACAGAATTATTAAGAAAAGTCTAAATTTCAGCACCAGAAATTCGTTCTGTAAACAGGAAAGTAAGGCACCGAGAAGCTGAAAAGCACCTTTCTGACACTGGATAAAATAATCTTCATTTCCAATTGTATTTTGTTCCAACCACTGTTTCAAAGTGAAAAAACAGCCTGCTGATGTTCCTTATGCTTATAGCAAAGTGCTCTACTAGGAAGGAAAAAAAGGAAGTTCTTCTGCAGAATCTTTTCCTCTTTTTGATTTGTAATGCTGCATTCCAATTCAGCAAACACATTCCAGCAACTCCAGCTGAAATTGCAAAGATGAGGTAAACAAGTACTCAATTCCAAAAAAGCTCCATAACAGGAGATTTAATGGATTTTTTCTGATTCAGTCAAAAAAAATCAGCTTGATAATTCTAGAATTTGACCCAAGTCATCCTCTTGAAACACAAATGCAAAGTCATTACTGACTGCAAAAAATCAAAAAGCAGTAGAGTAACATGAAGTCCAAGACTTCCAACTTACTTATCGTGGTTTCACAATTTTTCCAAGTATAAGGATTTCCAACCACTCACGGAATATGTAGAGCACATTTATCTTCACACTACTATATATTTAGTACATACTTTGTGTATGCATATACAGAATACAAAAATACTGTACGAAATTAATTAAAATTCTGTTTTACTATTGCAAGAACTAAATTTTATTCTTCAGTTGCACGCTTTACTCATTCTTGAGAAAAGCTGCAGTAGACTACTTCTTGTCACTCACTCCCAAGTCAATTATCTTGGCTAAGTAGTGGCTAACAAACCAGCGCACAAGAAGGTACATTTTCCACAGATTAAGAGAAGTGCAACCTACAAAAGGAAAGTTAAAAATTTACACAACCTGTTGAGTGTAGCCCAGTTGTCTGGTAAGATCCTCTTCAGTTTTTCTAAGCTTTTCTTCCAACATAATTTTGTCTTCCTGTGTACAAATAAACATTGAGTCAAATCCTTAGGTCCCAAAATACTAGTATTTAGCTTCCATTTTATCAGTGTACCCTGCCTAAGCAACCACATACCCGTTATATTTGTGGAAAAATAATCTTATTTAATAAACTTCATATTGAATAAGATATAATTAATAAATTTAAAAGAAAAGGCATTAGCTCACAAGGTAAAAACCCTGAATTAAATTATTACGAGGTTTCTATAAGGAAACAGTATCTTATCATAAAGACTTGTTTACAAAGGAGTTGCATGTACGACAAATTAACTGAAATACTATAAATGTATGTTATTAAAATGGCTTATTAGGTGGCTATAAACATAACAGCGTAGTAGGAGATACACAAAACCCAGGCTATGAAACTGAAATAGACAACTATGAGACCATTAATTTCTCATTAAATAAAATCTAGCATGCTACCAACTGCAACATTACAGTTTCAATTTGCTATTTATAGCTACTAGCCCTTTGAAGTCCATAAAGCCTTGGAATTATATACACACAGACACTTTATTCTGAAGTTGGATTTAGGAAAGACACTGAAAGTTTGCAGTATTTTCCTTTTGCAGTTGATCTGGCAATCAGCACAAGGCTATGAAGCACAAGACACTGAAGCATTCAGAAGCATTCAACAGCTGCATACTACATGCACCACATATGTAAAATACCTGATTTTCTGCCAGTTCAAATTACAGCCTTGGTTGAATATACATGTAATATTTTCATTGCTAGAGTGACAGTAACAATTTAGCCTTGTAACATGCACCCAAATAACTGCATGCAATGGCATGCATGAGCATACAATTTGGTACATACATCTGAAGTATTAAGACTGAAAAAAATGCTTAAGTACACATAGCCTCAAGTCCTAGTTGCAGCTATGACAAGCCTTCATTTTACCTTAAGGCATTTCAAACAGCTGGCTAAGAACTTCTTTATTTCTGCATCATTTCCTGGTAGGAATTTTAGAGAGAGATGGGTAAGATGTTTAAAAGGGTTGGTCTCCACTACATTTAAAGAGACAGGTGTGTGATCTAGAACAGATGCTGAAGAAACTAACTGCAGCAAAAACCTAGGGAAAATAAAAAATAATCAAATGTTTAGTATCTTTTCTTGAAACTACTGTAGATCCTACAAGCTATTTTCAAATAAAATATATTTTTATATGTGCAGTAAAAGGCTGTCCAGTTTTTGTTTGAAAAAGAACTATGAAATTCAATCCCTATGTTGTAGTTAATACCAGTAACAATATCAGCTAAAATACTTGCACCTTATAAGAAGAAATGTACAAAACTAACCAGTTTGTTTATTTGTAAAATTTCTAGAAAACCATCTTAGACTTAGAAGTCCAAAACCAAGTATGGCCTTTGTAATTAAATTCAACAGGAAAACAGACTCCTGACTTGTAGGTATCCTACATCACATATCTGCCACCTTGTGAAGCTTACCAGCTTCAACTCATACAGGGAGACTATTACTAGACATCAATTCCACTGCTTAGCCCTCCCAGGACTTAGGTTTTATCAGTAACATCCACTGACTCGTATTCAGATACATCCAGAGAAAGGCTAAGTCTACTGACTCTTCTCAGACTGAGTGGCTGACAAGTATTTTAAGAACTGAACAGGTACACACACAGAGTAACATGGCACTAACTTATTACCTACCTTGGGATATCTTTGTTCTGTTCCTGAATGCACTGCTGAAGCAGATCTATAAATTTTTGCGGGAAAGCAGAGAAGTCTACCAAGAGACCTTGCTGGGATTTTAAACTATATAAACAGATTGGAAAAAAGTATTAACAATATATAGACATGTCATTTATTTCCTATAAAATATTTTGTTTACACTAGTAGAAATAACTAGTTCTGATCATGCCATTAAAGTTTGCTAGCACATTATTTTCAATCCTCAACACAAAATAAATGTGATCATGTCTTGGATAATAACCACCAAAGGGTATTTTATTTTTCAAGAGTTCTTGCAAACGGGCCGCACTAAGGAAAAAAAGAAGTTTTGTGGCACAACAAATGTGCTCCTTCAGGTAGACATCTTCCTTACAGCACAGAGTGATATGGTTATTGGATAGGAGCACATGGAACAAGCAAAGGACAATGAGGGGAGACTCAACCATTATCAAGACTTTCTGTCTACTTGTTTGTTGAATTACGCACGTTCACCACAGATGCAGTAAACTCAAAGATAGAAAGACATTCAACAGTGTATGCACAAAGCCATGCCTTGGCTTACAAAACACTTCTGCACATCTGTTTTACAAATACTATTTTACTTCTGCCTTTCGATCCACACACTGATCACATCTCACTTTAAGGAGAAAAAAAAAACAACACCCATGTAAAGGAAAAAAAAAAAAAAAAAAAAGAAAAAAAACCACCAAAACCACCAATAAAAAAAAAACCTACCCACACCTCCAAACAACAAAGCAGGAAACTCAACTGTTCATGCCATCATTCATCAATGCCAAATTTGATGGTCAAATTCTGAGCAAGTAAAATAAATGAGACCCAATAGTACAATCAGCATGCAAGAAACCCGTAAGACAAAGGCTTTGGTCTGTGAATCCATGTCCACACAAACAGTCTTTCCCCTTGCAATTGTTTCTTGAAATAGTTCACACGTATACAACAGTCTATACGAAGTAGTTACGATAAACAGAAGATGCAAGTAGTAATGTAAATTGTGGTACTGTAGCTATGCAGGGAACTTAACATCAGGATTCTGTCACTCATCTGTATAATCTTGAGCCAATCACTTTCCTGTACTTTGCTGTTTCACCAACTGGTCAAAGAGAACAATGTTCTACCCAAATACTGACAGCACTCCCCAAGTGAAAAATGCCAAAACCTAAATTCTAAGATAGACCATTCTAAGCTAAAAAAATATTCCTTCCTTTTTTTTTTTTTGCCATTTAGAAATGTTTCACAGACAGGACATTATAATTTCACTTGCCTTTGAAAATCTTCTTCAGATATGACAAGGTTATAAAGGAAAAAAGGATCAGTATCATCAGTCAATCGAACAGCTAAATCCTGAAAAGACAGACATTTAAATATTATTTAAAATACTATAAACCATCCTACAGGACTGTTTAAATATTGTAAACCAATACTGCAAACAGTATTTAATGTTTTTACTGTTTAACCAAAAATAAGGTAGAACTGTGGCAACTAATTCAGAAGGTGAAAAATATTAACATTTAACACAACTCCAAATACTACAGTGGGAAAATGAGGAAAACTATTTCTCACAAAAATAAACCAAGTGAAAATCTTCAACTCTGAGCAGCAAAGGTTTCAAAATTCAATGCGTCTTCACCATTTTACAGAAAGAAAACTATTTGCTATTTTTCCCCATCATGAAATAGTGTAGCACTAGCAGTCCACTGTAATAACATATCATTCCTATAACTGCAAGTTTTTCAGAGCATACTGCTCCTAAAGCTTTAAGCAACCATCTTCTGAAGAGTTTATATAGTTGAATACAGAGCTTCACAAAGCAAACATAAAATGAATACAGCTGAAGTCCAGTAAGGTCGTAAGGAAAACTGTAGCATTATGCTGCTTAGCTTTTAAAAATGAACTCATTTGTTTACTGAAGGTCTACACAACATTTTGGAAAAAATTCCTTCTCTATAAACCTCAGTCTTTCATTACAAGGCTGGGGTTATGCAAAACACCTGATATATTAGGCCCAGGCACCTGTTCTCTATAATAAGGCTCAAACCTGTGCAAAGAATGCAGTATTTATTCCCTAGCAAAGAAAGGAAGCAGAAACCTGACAGCTCTTCCAACATAACTGAAGTGTGAGCAAAGCACACGTATACATAATGTTATAAAAAATGCAGTACTCCTTCACAAACAAATCTTTACTCAATAACACTATAACCAACTAATGACCAATCTTAAACTGTACATCCACCTACCATGATGTTAAGTGACAAATTAGACATACAACAAAAAAGATTTTATAACCTGCAGTAGCAATCTCATTGGTATTCTTCCTGAGGAGGAAGATTTTTTTTTTTTACTGCAAATTTAGTATATCACTTCCTTCCCACGCCCACTGAATGAATTCCAAACATTCAAATACCAATACACTTATCAATAAAAAGCAAAATGTTACAACCACTACAGGTCATAATTTTTGCTAGTTAAGATGAGGACTTTGCAAATGTAACTGCTGCTCTATATTCTTAATCAAGTGTTGAGTATATTTAAAGCAAGACTGCTCTTAAGCTCTAACTTGAGCTCCTCTGAGGGTCTCCAAATACTTTTAATTTTTAAGTTTATGAAGACCCATGAACAGCCAAACTAAGAGAGAGGAGTAAAAAGGCTAGGAAAAAAGACACCATAGCAAACCAATTAAGTTACTCAGGAAATTATATCAAAAATAAAATAAGGTGAAGTGACAAACATACTAAAATCCTATTTTGCTTTCCCTTTGCCTATTTGTCCTCTTATACAATGAAATTCAGGTAACACCTAAAGAACAATACAGATACAACTAGTCCACAAACCTTTTTATGAACAGGATTAGAAATGGACAGTAGCTCAATATTCACTCGAACATTTAATCTCCTGTGTACAAAAAGATAAAACTCAGTAACAAATCAAGAAAACATTCTCCAAATAACATGGGTTTGTAGCCACATTACAGGCATCAGATGACATTTAGAAAACAAATTTAGGCAGAAATATTGAGAAAGCTCCCATTGACAACTACTACTAAAACACCTGAAAGACCCACAGTTTCAGTTCTTACAGCTCCTCAGTCAGCTCAGGTTTTTTTTTTTACATGTTAACCACTAAACTTTAAATAATAAGGCAGAGGTTTTGAAACTTTGTCCAGAAACTAGAACTTTTGGAAAAGCCTGCTGAAATTCATTAATGACTGCTGAAACTTTCGGTAATTATTTATACAGTGCTACCTTGTCTTCATTTACTTCTCGTTGAGTAACACGAGAAGTTACTTGCGTTATAAAATACACCCACAGACATCAGCCTTTCTGTGCCTTGCAATACAGGCAGACCAGAGCAGCCCTAACGCCTGCACACGCTGTCTAATCCAGACAGAACCTATATTACTGAAACTCACTACGTTTTTAATAGACACTTCACCTAAAATACTCCCGGGCTTTCCCAACCTCAAGTGCTGAGGCATACGCACACGGGAGCGCCCAAACCGCCTCATCCCTCGGCAGAAACCGATGGGCACCGACGCGTGGGCTCGCCCACGCCGCAGGGGCCAGGATGCCGCGGTAAGGCCACCATCAGACTGCGAGGAGGAGGAGGAGGAGGAGGAGGCGGGCCTGCCCGCAGGTCAACCGCTGCGGCCGGGGACGCGCACACAGGGGCCCGGCCA